AAGCATGTAATATTATCCTGATTTTACATATGTCATAAATGTAGGTTAGGGAAATTAAAGAATATAGCACAGTGCAAGAGAGTAGTAGAGCCAGGATTCAAACCCAACTTAAACTTGTTCCAAAGAATATGTTCTTTTTTTTTTTTTAAGATTTTATTTATTTATTTGACAGACAGAGATCACAAGTAGGCAGAGAGGCAGGCAAAGAGAGAGGAGAAGCAGGCTCCCTGCTGAGCAGAGAGCCCGAATCGGGCCTCGATTCCAGGACCCTGGGATCATGACCTGAGCCAAAGGCAAAGGCTTTAACCCACTGAGCCACCCAGGCACCTATGTTCTTAATTACTGTGCTTAACTGTGATAGAAATTCAACTCTGGTAGAAATTAAACAACCAGGGAAGTCCAATATAGTATGGAGTATGTCCCAACATTTGGAAAGAACATAACCAATGACTAACAGATTAAATGAGATAGTCGAGAGTCCAAGAATGTGGACAGCTCCGGAAACCCTCCCACCGGCAACTTGCCCCATCTTCCAGATACATTGAGTGACAACTTCATTCACTATGAGCAGGACTAACGAAGGAAGACATGAAAACTGAAAACTAGGCAAATGAAGGAGGCAAAAACAAAAGCACAGCTAGATGGGTAATTGCGCTACTACAACTGGAAAAAAACTGATCAGGACTAATTGTAATACAGCAAAGTGAATCAGATCCCAAGGCTGAAGTTGGACCAACAACAAAAGTGGTAATGCTGATAATCAGACTGTGATGTTCGTGCTCTCTTAACCTGTTCTAAATTTGGGGTTGGTACCTAGTCTGCAGAAAGCCAAGTATCTCCAGCCTACTGGCCATGAAAAAGAGGAGGGATAAACTTATTCCAGAAAGGTTAGCCTTGCTTAACAATTTGCTTAGAGTTCAGCATCCCTATATTGTACCTGCTTTCAAAGAGCTTCTTTTGCTTTTTCCCCAAGATAATACCTTTTTAAAATCTCTACATTCTTGTCTTCTGCCTTCTCCCATCATTAGCACCAGAGTTGCCAAAACAGGGACTGTTTTGGTCCCTGTTTGGGTCATTTGTAATTAGGTTTTTTTGGAAAGGTACACAAGCCAAAGTCAATCCAAAAGACAAGAGGAGTAAGACTGAAAGGCTGGGAATGTATCTACCGAAAAGAGAAAAGAGGTTTCAGTCAAGACAGAATTCATATTAAGATAGATGGATTTGAGAGACATGAGCATGTCATAAGCTTCTTTTTCATCAACCTGGAAGTGAACAGCCTGGATTTGAGGAGACAGTTAGACATCAGTACTTGGTTATTCTGAAATCCCGCTACCATCCAGATGTCAGATCCTATTAGTTCACATATGACCACCAGTTTCATGAGAGATGCCTAGAACACAGTCTCTGGGCTATCAGCACAATTTAAAATCATGTCATTTAAACATAGCCTTGTTGGTCTTTACAAGCTCTTTGTTTACTGTGGGTCTTAGATTTTAGATAAAGATTTTAAATCGCTTCATAGTTTAACAGGATTTTTAAGTCACATTTACATTTTCTCTAAGATGTCAGCACTGTATCTCAGCTCTTCTCTCCAAATGCAATAACATGACAATAACAGACATGGGGATTTCAGGTTTTGTTTTAGATGCACAACTGCAAAGCAAGTGAAGTACATTCTTTGCTGCTTTCTGTATCCTACTCTCTGGATCAGGCCACGAATTTCCTCCTGTTGCCTCTAGCTCCCAGGGATTTTTCCCACTGCCCTTCGCAATGCAGCACTGGTTGTTATACTTCTGCTGTCCCCATCCATGTCAAATTTATTCTCGAAAGTTCTAGTCTTAAAAAATTGGTCAATATGATAAAATGTGAGGTAAAGTGCTAATGACAAATGATGTTTAAGGATTATCTCTACACACGTCACTAATGTTTATCACTCACTACACCTGCGAACACATGACATGCCATGGACTATGCTTGCGGGTTCACATATGTTATCTCATTATCTCATATTGCATATCACATATGAAGACCCCCAAAATGAGGGTCTTCAATGCCTTCTTTACCCTTCGTTCCAGACCTACACATAGTCATTCCTTAAGTCAAGGGTAGCGCCTTAAGAACATGAGAAAACAACTGTCAATACGAGCTGCATGGATACTATGATTAAAAGACTAAATATATTAAAACACGGAGATAAGTAGTACCTGTTTTAATAATAACCAGGAATACAAAAAAAATGTTTGGATAGTCCTCAGTTGATTACCCTGGTAAGTTAGAACCTGCATTCTTGGTCAGATCACTGTATTCTTTCTTTAGGGCAAGGAGTGAATAATAATAGATTTTCCTGCAACCGGACAAGGCCACCAGGAAAGACAGTTTTGGTCAAAGCACACTTTACTGACTTCAAATTATAACATGTAGCTAGCTTTCTGCTCTGTCATTGAGGAAGGTCAGGTCTGGTTAAGTATGTGCTGAGGTCAAAGCTGAATCACAGCTAATGTCTAAATATAGATCATCTTTTAAAAACTGTGGCCTCTTTTCCATGGCTTCAGTGTGTACAACACAGGAGTTAGGTTTTCGCAGAGAAGCTGCCTTTTCTTAGGGAAAGTAGGTCCAGTGAAAAACGCTGGCTTTTAAAATAAGGAAGAAAGTAGGAGTGTGCAAATTAAATAAAGATAAGTTGTTAAAGGTTAACTAGTTTCTCCTGGTGGTGTTATAAGCAAATGGCATAGTCATTCTCTGGTTCTAAAATATTTAGATGTTTTATTTCAGTCACATAGTGGGAGCTGAGAACAAATGTGGGTAAACCAGATACAAAATACCTTCACAGAACATAAGCTAAAACCTATTCCCTTAATTCTTCAGTGTTGAATCATCTGTTATGTCTGGACCGTAAATGTGAAGAATGCCAAAGCAGCTCTGGTATTGCCGTGGTTTGGTACACACAGATACCAGGAAAAGCGGATCTACCCTGAAAACAGGTTATTGTCCCTGTTGTTGTATTAGTTTCTATGGCTATATAACAAATTACTGGAAATCTGGGGACTTAAAGTACCTATTCATTATTCCCCAGCTTCTGTTGATCAGAAGTGTGGGCGCCACATAACTGGGCTCTGTGCTCGGGGTCTCCCTGGACTGAAATCAAGGCTTTGGTCTGGCTGTATTCTCATCTGGAGCTGAGGATCTCCTCCATGTCTAGTCAGGTTTTTAGAAAAATTGAACTGCTTGAAGTTGTAGAACTGAGGTCCACATTTTCTTGGTTGCTGCCCATGAGTTTCACTCTCAGCTCTTAGGGGCTGCACTCGGGATTTAGACACGTGGCCCTCTCGCAACAAGGTAGTTTACTTCTTCAAGGCAGGCACTAGAATCTCTCTTCAGTTGGCTATGCTGGGAGGGAATCTTATTTAATGCAATGTAATCACATAGCTGACTACCAACACCTTTGCAATATAATATAACCCCCCCAAATAATAATAATAATAACAACAACAACAACAATAATAATAAAGCCTAAGCATGGAGTGACTACCTCTCTGTATTCCCAGATCCCACCCACACTTAAGAGAAAGTATTGGACAGAGCCTGTGGGAACAGAAGCTTGGAGGCCATCTTAGAATTATACCTGTAACTATTAATCAGAACAGGGGCTGAGTGCCGAACTATACAATGGAGAAGAGAGCAAAATGTTACTCATCTCCAGAGCATATATATTAAATGTAAACTGATTCAGTACCAAGAATAATGTTTTCCAGGAGAAAACAAAACAAAACGAAATCTACAAATGTCTACGAAAATTCCCAGAGGAAGAAACTCAGTCTCAATCTCAAGGTACCCTTTGAATTATGCCCAATAGAAATGCAAATTCTTATTCAGACCAATAATAAGGCTTGCAAAGATCTGTGCTCTCTAAAAGATACATGTACCTCAGTTTTAGTAACCCCAAACCCTAACTTCCTATGTAAATACCCTTTTTTATCACTACACTCCTTCTTTATGTCTAATCGCCAGCTACAAGCCAGTGTGGTAACACTGCATTCTCTAGAGATAAAGTAAAAAGTCAAAATTCAAATTATAACACCGACATTTTCTGGAGTAGGAGATGACCAAGTTTTGATTTTGGAGTACACACCCTGTATAATCACCTCCTCTAGAATGTCAGTGGACATGTAAATATGATGAGATAGTCTTTCTTTTCATTAAATTATCTTACCTGGCAAAATGATGGGTCACTCACTCATGATTATTTTATGTTATAAATGATTCAGTCTGAGCACAGTGAGAAAACTGTTTTGCAAGCCTTGAAGAGGGTGAGCTGCAATGTGGTAAGAGGGTCACATGGACAGGCCTTAAGGAACTCTTAGGAGCTGAGAGTAAACCCAGGCTGACGAACATCTAGCAAAAAAAAAAAAAAAAAAAGTGGGGGGGCCCTGCAAGATAGTGATCTGAATGGGCTTGGAAGAAGACCCTGGGCCTCGGATCAGATTACAACTCAGATGACACCTCAATTTTAGCCTGGTGATTCAGGTGGCCAAGCTAACCTCTGACTGGAAAGATAACCAATGAAAACTGTGTGATAATAAATTTGTGTTCTTTAAACTGTTAACTCTGTGCCAGTTTTTTATGCAGTATAGAAAACTAGTACATAAACAAATTAATAAATAAAGTAAACAAACTATCAAAATTGGGTTTAGGAACTTTCTATAGCAACAGCTCTCAACAACAGAATCCCAACTGATCTTACTGCATAATTATCATCATTTTCAGGAAATGTACTGAAAACTAAAACATACTTAAAATAAACACATTATTTTGTGGTAGTCCAGGGCACAGTAGATGACAAACCCAAAACAAAAACTCCTTAAGGGATGAAAGAATGTCAAACCAGTGGGGGTCTGAAACAAATAACTCCAACAAGGGTAAAAGAAAATCTGAATAATTAATAATGGTGTGTATTATGTGTGGAGTACTCATATTTATGTGGAGAAACAAAAGACACTTACTCTGAAAGTTGTTCACTGAGAAGTCTTGAGGATGATAGAATCCTGCTTTGCAAATGCACTGATAGGCTCCAAGCACGAATCCTAGGCCTTTAATTGGCATACACTATGAAAAAGAAAAGACAGCAGTAGAGTTGATCACAGTTTATTTCACAGTATAAAGACCCACAAATATCCATCACTGCAAATGGTAACAGAACTATCACATTTTCCAGAAATAAAGTATCTCTTTTTTGAACTCTTATTTTAGATTTGTTTGTCAACAGACATTTTTTTAGATACCACAAACTGAGTTTCCTTTCTAAATACACACCATTATGGCTGTAGGCACCCACAACTTTAACTCATTCGGTTGCCATAGGGAGTAAATGTTTAGGCATGGCTTTTGGATTTAATGCTCAGATATACTATTGCTTTAAGAGGTATTTCCAAAGCCTGTAAGAATGCTTAAGAAGGATTCCATGTAAAACATTTCTATCACAGCAAAGGGAAGTGGGTAGGTTAGATGGATAGAACTCAGGATGTGAAAATTGTTTCTATGAATTAAATATTTACCAAATTTTCATCCTTGGAATAAAATAACATAAATTGGTAAAACAACAAAACAATTAAACTTTAAAGTGCAAATTTGCAAGAGAAAAATTAAGATAAAATAATGATCCCAAGGGCTCTTTACCTAAAATCTGTTTCACAGATAAGTGCTCTATATGTACATAAATTTTTAAAAAATGACCAGCTTTCTAAATATGTCACATCAATAGATATAATAGATATCTCCCAAAAGCTTAATCTTGGCTTCTTTCAAAGATATCACTTAAATCTCATCAAATTTGGCTTAACATACTTCACTTCTGCTACTTTTCATTATATAGCATGGAATAACTTCTACTAAAATACAAATAATACATCAATAAAACAGAAGTGTCTCAAGAATACAGTTAACACTGAAATTTCATTTCTGCTGTCTCTCTACCATGATGATAATCCTTTGACTTTTTGCCATTCTAATCAGTTAGAAAATCTTATAATCTAATAGATTTCAGTTATAAAATGTCTCCTTAATACAGAAGCCCTGAAGAGAAAACTCCAAATAATTCAAATAATAATTCCACAATCTAAGCTTAATGATTGGTATCAAGATCAATATTACATACTATGAAAACTCCAAGAAATAGAAAAGTATTTATATATAAGGTACCAAGAGCTAATACATGTTCTAAATTCATATGGATATAACAAAAAAGTATTTAACAAAGAGCTTTCTAAGAGACCTCCTTGAATATTTTATTTCATTAATTTGACAACCACCCCAGCCTTTTTTTTTAACCCAATACACAATTTATATCAAACTATACCTTGCAATTAAAAACACAGTTCCTGACCCAGAGCAACATAAAAGAAGAGATAAGTACCGATCAATTCAACTGAGTTGGCAAGTATTTATGAAATGCCTGCTGTGGGTTCAGAAAATTCCTTTAGAACCTAAATGAATTAACATATTATTTATAAAAATCCAGTTATATAATAGGTCAGATGATATTTCTGAACTATGTAAATTAAAAACAATTGTAACACTTACTTTGCAAAAACACTAGTATTATGAATAGAGCATATTGTTTGTGGTCAGTCAGAAAATAGGACTTGAATTATGACTTCATCACTAACTAGCTATGTGAACTTGGGATGTTCTCTTAACTTCTCTGAGCCTTAGTTTTTTAATTTGTAAGACCAATAATACAGTCAAATTCATTACAGTTTTGAACAAGGCAGAAACACAGAGATGTTGTAATAGGTTAAACATGGGGTATAAGAGGAAGAGAAGAATATAGGGTGATTTTATTGTTTTTTTGGTCTGAGCAACCTTAAGACTGGAGATGCCACCATTGACATAGGGAAGTCTCCTGATGGAGAAGATTTGGAAGAAAGAGCAGAAGTTCAGTTTTGTAAATATTAAGTGTGAAGTACCTATGTGAAATTTAACTGTAGATATCAAACAGGCAGGCTGATAAAGTTTTAGGGAGTTTAGGAGAGATATCTGGGCTGTATAATTTAGGACTGATTTGCACAAAGATGATAGGTAAAACCATGAAATCAGGTAAGACTAGATCACTAAGGGAGCGCCTACAGGCTGTAAAAGACAGAGGTCCAAAGTGGTGAGACTCAAGACACTCTAGGGCTAAAAGATTAGGCAGAAGGGAAGCAACAAAGGATACTTAGGAGAGTAATTCAGTGTGGTATCATTATCTCATTAACTAGATTGTGATACTATGGACATAACAAGTGAAATTTCTTATGAGTTACATTTAGTAAACATTCATAAAGCACAGATTTATCCAGGTAGACTAAGTCTTAGATGCTGTTAATACAATAGTATACTCTAAATATTCTGCCTCACTGGAATTTGGAGGTTAATGCTATTTCTTAAAACAGCATTAAATTCCCTGATAATATGACAGTATACAAAAGTAATGCAGTTGAAAATTTTAAATGTTTAAGGCAGATTGAAAATTTATGGGAATAAGAGTATCTCTTTACTAGCTAACTCTAAACTTGAGATAAAAATGAAGGTTAAAAAAAAAAAACTAGTTGATCAGATAAATATGACCAAATATAAAGTCCCTTGAGCATAAAGAAAAATCTTCCCAATTTTATTATGGATAACACAGAAATATGAATTATTAGTTACCTCAAACCCCTTGTTCTATTCTTAAATTAACTTATATTTTCAAAGAAAAGAAAAAAAATAGTCAGTTAACATCAATAAAAATATCATCCTGCTGCACTTCAAAATTGTGGGACCTGCATGTAACTCAATATGCTATTGCTCATATAGGTTTGCCTAAGTATGAAGTAATCTTGCTTATTTTTCTATTAATGATTATAAATTTGCAATCAAATTTCCATGCTTTCTTGCTCTATCTGCCATCACCATTCTGTAGCTACTCTAATTCTGTCACACCTCCCAAACTTATACATTTTCAAGATTAGGCAACTAGTTTAGTATTCAAACTAGTTTTTCAAAATCTATATAAGTATGATGACTACTCAACTAATGTTCATCATATCTGGACTGAGGAGCTGTTTTCTATAATTTTTAAGATTTAGAATTTTTAAAAGATTCCCACGTAATATAGGGAAAAGTCTTCAGAAGTTAACTCTAATTTAAAGTTCATTTAAAATATTCACTTGAAATATTAATTTTAGATATTTAAGACATTCATTCATTTTAGATATTCAAGCCTAAGCCTTTCTGCTTTATCTTCATAGAAATCCAAGAAGCTAGAAATGGAAAAAACAGTACTTCTTCCTCCATGGAGGTAACTGTTCCATGATACCGTTCTATAAACAGTAAGCTTCTTATATTAAGACTTATGGCATCCCTGTGAATGAAGTAGCTACTCACAAGCCTGGATGCCCTCATCGATGAACCTACAATGCCAATACTTACTAAGCCATCAGCAGAGATATAGCCAAGGATAGCCTTGACAACCTACAGTCAGTTACATTCCTGGGAGTAATCCAGATCCAAATGGAAGGAGATAGAGGTCAAGAATTTAGAGAAAAATAGATTCCTAGAAATATACAGCCTATCAAGTATGAGTCATGAGGAAACAAAAATTCTGAACAGATTTATAACTAGTAAGAAGATTGAATAAAAAACATCCCAATGGAGAAAAAAGCCCAGAACCAGAAAGCCTCAATGGACAATTCTACCAAACAGTCAAAGAAAAATTAACACTAAACTTTTCCTCAAACTGTTCTAAAAATGTGAAATGAAAATACTTTCTAATTCATTTTGTGAAGCCAACATTTTCCTGGTAGCAAAATCAGACAAAGATACTACAGGAAAAGAAAACCACAGACCAATGTTCCTGATTAATATTGATGTGAACATCTTCAACAAAATAATTGCAAACCAATTTCAGCATATTCAAAGGACTACACACCATAAGTAAGTGGGACTTATTCCTGGAATGCAACAATGATTCAATGTACAAATCATTCAATGCAATACACCATACTGACAAAATGAAAGACAAAAACTACATGATTACTTCAAGTAATTTAGAAAAAGCATTTGACAAAATTCAATACATTTTCACGGTAAAAACACTCAACAAACTATGAATAGAAGGAAACTATCTCAACATAAGAAAGGCCATATTTGAAAAGCTTATACCTAACATTATGCCTAATGGTGAAATGCTGAAAGACATTCCTGTAAGATCAGAAACAAGATAAGGCCAGTGTCACTTCCATTCAGCATTATTGGAAGTCCTAGGCAGAGTAATTATGAAAAAAATAAATGACTTTCAAAAAAGAAAGGAAGAAGTACAATTATGTGTTTGCAGAATACATAATGTTACATGTAGAAAGCCCTAAAGATTTTGCCAATAAAAGAAAAAAAAACCTGTTAGAATTAATAATCATATTAAGCTAAGTTCTAGGACATAAAATCAACATACAAAAATTGGTAAGTTTCTATACACAAATAATCACAATCCAGAAAGGATATCTAAAAAAACAATCCCACTTATAATAGCTTCAAAAAGAATAAAATACTTAGGAATAAACTTAACCAAACTGAAAATTATAAAATGTTGCTGAAAAAATTAAAGATACAAACATGTAAACTGACAGTTGTGTTTGTGGATTGGAAAACTTAACACTGCCAGAATTCCAATGCTACCCAATGCAATTGTTATTAAAATCCCAACAGCATTTTTGGCAGAAACAGAAAAACCATCCTAAAAATCGTATGTAATCTCTAGAACCCCAAATAGTCAAAGGAATCTTGGAAATGAAGAATTTGGAGGTCTCACACTTTCTAAGTTCAAAAATATTTACAAAGCTACAGTAATCAAAATAGTGTGGTACTGGCATGATGGCAGATGTATAGACCAATGGCAAAGAATAGAGGCCCCAGAAATAAACCTCATATATAATGATCAAATGACATTTGCAAGGATGCCAGTACCATGCAATGGGGAGAAAAGGGCAAACTCTTTAAGAAATGGAGCTGGGAACACTGAATATCCATATGCAAAAGAATTTAAATTACCTTAATTAATTACCTTAAAACATATACAAGAATTAACTCAAAAT